CAGAGCCTTGCACCTCGGTTGAGGGTTAGATCCCCAGTCCCGGCACGTACGGAAAGTGACCGGTGGGTTTCTCTCTCTCCCTCTTCCCCTCTCTCTCTCTCATCAATAAACATCCCTTCGCGGCATCTCCTGGCACCTGGTGGCCAGTCCAGGGCAGTGGCTTGGCGTGGGCTCTGAAGCCGTGGGGGAGCCAGGGGACCCGTGCCTCGGTGTGCCCATCTGGTAAATGGGAATGACGGCGGCTACCTGCCCGACGGGGCTCTCAGGCTCCTGACTGTTAAAGTCCGCGTTCCTCCAGGGCTCACCGAAGGGTGATGCATGTAATGCGTGTAACGAGCGTTCCATGGTTGTTCATTTTCTACAAGAAAATAAGGGACAAACGGCAGAATCCCACAAAATCGCCCTCAGAGCCACACAAAAACATTCCGCGCACTTTCTCCTCTCAGCGCGGGCTGTCACAGGAGGGAAGAACCCAAAGGAACCTGAGTCTCGTAGAAACACAGGACTTTTCCCAGACACAGAGGCGGCTGTTGCGATCGCTGCACTGTCTTCTTTCCTTCTTTTTACCCATTGTTTCCCCAGTCCCGGGGAGTCTTTATTTTATGTATTTTTTGTGTATGTGTCCTTCCACTGTTCACGCCCCTTCGGCCACCCTGCCCTCTGACGGCCATCAGCCGCTGTCTGTCTGTGGGCCTGCTTGGACTGCGTCTTGTTGAGTCTTCGGGGGAGGGGGTTCCTTTTAGATCCCACGTACGAGTGGAAACATGCGGCATTTGTCCTTCTCTGTCGCACGCACTTCGTGGAGCACAGGGCCCCCCGGGCCCATCCGTGTCGTCACAAGGGGCCAGATTTCATTCTTGCTCTTGCCGAGTAATATGCCAGTGCGTGAACACGTGTCTACAGGTAAATTGGTCATTTCTTTCATTCTCGTTTCTCACCTGCGTGAGAATCCCTAAAGGCGACGGGAGACGCCGCCTGGTGCACGGTCACAGACGCACCCAGGGACGCTGGGCGCGGTGACTTCCTTCTGGCCACACTGGTTGTGGGCGTCCGTCTCACAGGACGGGCGACGAGTCGGCCCGGCCAGTCACAGCGAAGTCCTCTGCTGCTCAGGGGGCCCCCGCGTCCGGGCCGCCGCGCTAGGCTCCAGATTGCCAAACTCGGTCGGCAGGTGACTTCGACCTTGACTTCACCTTGAGCGGGGCTGCAGCGGAGCAGCCAGTTCAGGGCCCCAGGAGCGTTTCAGTGGGCGGGGAAGCAGAAGCTCCTCCCACAGGCACCGCTAAGCCCCGCCCACCCCACCTCTGCTCCAATCTCCGGACGCGCGCCGCGTGGAGCACCCGCCCACGCCTGCAGTTGCGGCCAATCTCTGGGGCCCGGGGCCCGCCGGCCGGGAAGAAACCCTTCACCTCCCGCCCTTGCCTCCAGCCCCCCGGCCCGGCCCGGGTTTCCCACCACCCGCCTCTCGCCGCGCCCCCCCCGCCCCGTTCCCTCTGGCCCCGAGTCCTCCACCCGCCGATCGGTCTCGTCGCCTCTCGCCCTCCCCCCCCGCCGGCAGCACCAGCCCTATCGGCTGTTTGCGTCCACACTCCCCGCATTCCCGCACAACGCGGGCTCATTAAAACCTTTCGAATTAAGACCTCCCCAGCCTCGCCGGCTGAGCGCCCCGGCCCTGCCCGCACGCACAACACGCTTCCGGCTCTTATCGCAGACTTCCAGGCGGTTCGTACATTATATCCTATTAGAAACTCCGTCCCACCCGAGGTTGTCACAACTCAGAGACTACAGCTTTCCGTGGGAGGGTCGGTTAGTGATACGTGCGCCTGTTCCCTTTGTTCGCCGGGGAGCCTGCACTTCACGCCTCATTTGACAGCACGACTCCACCGAAAAGCACAAGCAGCAGCAACTACTTGTCTCGGTTAAGGAGCGGGTCTTCCCGGGGCAGGTGGCGAGCTGGGCGCGCCCCTCCCGGCCGGAGAGGTCGGACACCGGAGGGGACTGAGAAAGCGCTGGAAGGTGAGTGGCCGCTCGTGGAACGACGTTTCTCGTCCCGGAACCTTCCGTCCCTCCTAAAGAGAACGGGAAACCGACGCCCACAAACCCAGAAGTCATCTCCGCAGCCCGAGTTCTTCCTTGAACTTAAAACACCACCACCAGGGTGGCCCAGAATTCCCACACGGCGCCTGCGCTGTGCACGGCCCCGGGAACCGCCACCGCGGCCCGCGGCGTCTGAGGACCTGAGTCCGAGCACAACAGGAGGCTGGGGCGACTGGCCGGCCACCCCTGCGCTGCGCCCCTGCACCCTCCCTGTGCAGGACCCTCTCTGCGTCCCACACTGGAAGCCCACCCACGTCATCCGGCGGGTCCGTTGGCCCCCACTTCCGGGGCTGGCTGCAGAGACGGGTTCTGGGGGGGTCCAGGAGCCACGTTGCCCCAAACAGAGAGATGCAGCGGTGGTGCCCCAGGCCTGGTGCGGCCCCGATGGGGAGAAGCAGCTTTCTCCCCAGGGGAGTGAGGGGCCCTGGGGGCGGGGGGCGGGGGGCCCTCCTGCCACCAGGAGGAAGAGCCGGCCAGAGGGGTCGCCCGCCCAGAGGAGAGATGAGAGACAGGCGGCTGAGGGGCTGCTTGCGCACCTGGGCCCAGACACCCCCAAACTCCCCCACGTACCCGAGGAACCTGGGTCCCCTCGCCGCTTGGACTTCATGAGTGTGGACCTAACGGCAGCCCCCGGACGAAGCCACCATGATGGGCCCCCAGCCACCAGGAGGGCGACTCCCCGTGAGGACCGCACCCACTCGTCCCAGCGTAGAACGGAGATCGAGCCCTGCCCTGTGACGGGCACCTCTGAAGAGCGCGGCAAAATACGGCCGCCGAGCCCCGTTCTTGCCATTCTTCCCTGACGGCAGCCCGCCCCACCCCCACGACAAAGCCCGGAACAATACCAGATGGTCATTTTCCTGGCTGACCCCGCTTTGATGGGCAGCGACACGGAACCCCGTCTTTACTGGTGAGATCCCAAAAAAGACCTCCAGGGGCGTAGCTGGAGAGGTCCTCCCCGGGAAACCAAGGTATCTGAGGAGAATGCTGGCTCCCTTCCAGTCTTTGTCTACAACTGGATGCGTGTGTGATGGCTGGGCCTGCCGCAGCCATCCTGCCACCATGAGGAAAGAAGCTGGAGGATGACAGCCAGTGGACTGGGTGCCACAGAGCGGACAGGCACAACCCGCCTGGTGACGCACCAACCACACAACCCCCCTCTAAATGTCCCCCAGGTGAGATGAGAACATAACCTTACTGTTGCAGCCTCTCTGGGGGCGGGGGGGTCCTGCTCCCTGTAGCGGAGAGCATGTGTGAGTGTCCGAGGCTCTCTGCGTCTCTGACAGCCCAGGGTGTGGGGGGCACGCTCGGCCGGCAGGAGCAGGTTCCCAGGGGAGCCACGCGGGGGTGCAGACTGAAACCTCTGTCAGGAGGCGTGCGGGACGCTGACCGGGGCGCTGAGTCTGCAGCGACAGGCACCGACCTTGCTGTTCCCAACGGGGAGGCTCTGGGCCCCCCAGCCCGAGTCCCTTCCCTCCCTTGGAAAGAGACCATGGACCGCGGGCAGGAAGACATCTGGCTGAGGCCGGGGTCCCCCGTTAGGGGCAGCACCCAGCGGGCACCCGGCTGGGAAAGGCGAGCTCCGCCCAGTCTCTCCTCCCCCCCTGTCATCCATTCATTCATTCGCTCACTCATTCATTCATTCGCTCACTCACTCACTCATTCACTCACTCATTCACTCATTCATTCATTTACTCACTAATTCATTAACTCGCTCGCTCACTCACTCACTCACTCACTCATTCACTCACTCACTCACTCATTCACTCACTCATTCACTCACTCATTCACTCATTCATTCATTTACTCACTAATTCATTAACTCGCTCGCTCATTCACTCACTCACTCACTCATTCACTCACTCACTCACTCACTCACTCATTCACTCACTGACTCGCTCATTCACTCACTCGTTCATTCATTCATTCGCTTGCTCATTCATTTCACTCACTCATTCATTACTCACTGACTCACTCATTCACTCATTCATTCACTCATTCACTCATTCATTCACTCACTCATTCACTCATTCATTCACTCACTCATTCACTCATTCATTCATTAGCTTGCTCATTCATTTCACTCAGTCATTCACTCACTGACTCGCTCATTCACTCACTCGCTCATTCATTCATTCACTCACTCATTCATTCATTCATTCATTCATTCCCTGCTGTGGCTAAGACTGCGGTGGACCTCAGAGGGTGTGAACACCAGAAAAGAGAGAAGAGACAACCCGTGGTGACAATCGGAAAGAAAGGCAAAGGGACCTCGGGGTGAGAGATCTCCCTGCACACTGGGTGCCTGGTGCACGGCCATCAGCTCAGCCCGGAGAGCCCGAGGCTGGCACCTCAGTCCACGCAGACAGGTGCCGGCCGTCCACGCCACGTTCCCCCGACTTAACGCTCTGAGGCCACGCGCCGACACCCGGCGTGGCCCCAGCAGGACGGCCACTTTGGGACACCAGGAGGCGGCCACTCGGCAGCCACAGTCACGTCAGCGTGCCCCTCACCAGGGACAGCTCCTCTCGCCTCCAAGGAGTTTGCACTTGGCCCCTTTTGTGCTCCACCTCCCCACTGCAAATAATGACGATGACAATGATAATGACAATGATAATATTCTCAAAGCAAGCCTGTCAGGCCCAGCACCGCGACAAAGGTGAGCCCTGGTCGTGTCTGAGGCTGCGGGGCCAATCGGGCGGCTGCAGCCCAGAGCGTGAAGAATGAGGGCCCCCCCCACCACGGGGCAGCCGCCCCGAGCCCCCGCCCCCCCCAAAGTCTGGGGCCCAGCTCAGGAGCGCACGTCGGCCAGAGGGGTCTCCGCCGTCCTCACACGCACGTCCACCTGCTGTCAGTGTCCCCCACGCCCGCTGCCGGGGCCCCGGCAGGCCCTCGGCGCCTACCTGCTCCGCGGGTCCAGGTGCTGGCCCACGCAGGTGAGGGCGGCCGTGGTCCCCACACCATCGTTGTCGATCTCTTCCTGCACGGCCCAGTGGTCTTCGCCGCTGACCCTCACCGCCGCGATTCTCACACCGGCCGCAGCCTTGATCCTGGGGGGTGGGGAGACACGGAACCACCTCAGTTGGAAACAGGCAGTAAGAGCACACCCCAAGCACAGACGCGCCCTCGCCTCCGGGGGGCGCCGGGGGCGCTGGCTGTCCGTGGCTTTCCCCTGACAGCTAAGTGTCCTGCAATGTTCCCAGGCGCCCAGAGTGGGGGGGGGGGGGGGGGCCAGAGCTGCCCCCTTCAGGGGGAGTGTTCTGTCGGCAGCCCTCGGGGAGGGAGGCGCCTTCTGCCTCAGGGGCCCCGGGACGGGAAGGGACGACGTGTCGTGGGGGTGGAGAGGATCGGCGGGGCCTGCGCTTCCCCCGCAGGCGGGGAGAGGTCCCCCGGGGGAGGGAAGAGGAGAGGAGGGTGTGGGGACCTGGGAGGCAGCCCGGCCAGGGGACCGAGGAGGAGGCACCGCCGCCCCCACGGCACCTCCCCCCGGAGACTCTGGATGCCTTCCTTTGCCCCGACTCGCTCTTCCCTCCCGCGAAGTTCCGCCGGCGGCACGTGCTTCTGCTCGAAGCTGTCCGTCCCGCCCGCATGACGCCCCGGGGACTCACTCGTGCGAACCACGAAGACAGGCACCCTCTCTTCTCCCCCGCTTTCGGCCGCCCCAACCTGCGGCCCCGCGGGGCCCTTGGCGAGAAGTTCCAGAGCCGGGCCTCGATGGGCAGAGCCCCCCGCCCCCCCGGGGACCTCGCGGCCCCGCTGTGCCCCGCACCTGCTGCTCGAGCGTCTCGTCACATCCTCACACGGCTGCTCGCAGAGAGCTTTCATCAGGCGGCCCGAGGTCAGGGGTCCTCAGCGTCCAGATGCACCCACAGCGGCCCTCCCACCCCGTCAGCGAGCGGCCAGCTGGGGGCCGCAGAGCCGGTCACTGCGGAGCCGGGACCAGGAGCCAGCCCTGCGCCCGCCCTGCCCCCACGCGCACAGCCTCCCCGTGAGCCCCGCGGGCGTCCTTCCCTGCCCGCCCGGCGCACACTCGGGGCTCACGTCTCTAACCAGAGTCTCGCGCGCTCAGCTCCCTAACCGCGGCCCCATCGCCAGCCCTCTGCCCTTCAGGGCCGACGCGTCCCAAAGCCAGCACAGGCCCTCGTCCTCGGGGCCTTCGTCGCGCAGCCCCTCTGCCCTGATGCCCAGGGCGAGGAGCACCATCCCCCCGCCCCCCCCCCCGCTGTCCCCCCCCCTATTGCTGTGCGTTCTGTGTTTCCCGCCCGAGAACGCCGCAGCAGTTGAGCTCGCCCTGGAGTTTCAGAGCCCGGTGACCCGCCAGGAGTGACCACCAGCACTGGACAGCGGGGACAGGGCCAGCGCAGGCCAGGAGGCCACCCAGAGTGCCCGCCGCGGCTGCCGCTGTGCTCGAGGATCGGAGAGAGACCCGGGGTCCCAGGGGGAGGTGGCGGGAGACGGACTCAGGGCGGGGTCCTCCAACCAGCAGGGTCAGCGTTCTCCAGGGCGGCAGTGGCCTCCAGCAGGGTCGCAGGGACAGAGGCGGGGACAGACCCAAGTGGCCTCGCAGGGCATCCCGGGGATGGGGTGACGGGCCCCGGACACCACGAACACTGGTCCACTTGCTGCTACGCCGTCGGAGCCCCGATGGGCCCCCTCCGGGTCGGGCCGGGTGAGGTTCCAGCCGCCGCAGCAGACGAGGCAGCCGAGGACGGGAGACCCGGGCAGCGACCCCAGCGGCCCTGCCTCATTCCCCTCCGTCTCCCCAGACCTGTGCAGGGCCCGCCTCGCTGGGCACGAAGAAACCTGCCAGGCAAGGGCACCCAAGTCCTCGCATCTCCTGCTCCTCACCCTCCATCTCGGAACTAAATGTCTCCTCTCCCCGGGGTTCTGGTTTATTCCGTTTGCTGGCACACTGGGTGTGCGGACAGGGGTTCGTCTTGCACAAAGAGAACTTCGGTCTCCGCCCTCAGCTCTTGCGAGCTGACCTCTGAGGCCCCGGAGCAGGGAGCTGACTGATGGGGGTGGGAGGTCAGTTGACCCAGGCGCCTCGGGCCACTCGGTCCCAGCCCGGCCTCTGCGGCGCCGGGACCCTGAGGTCGGCCGAGGGAGCGGTGAGCCGTGCCCACGTGACCCAGCCCCATCAGTCTATTCCTAAGCTCCAGCTCTCCGGCCAAATCCTGCCCAATTTTAGACCACATTTGCTAGAACAATTTAAGCCCAGAAAGATCCATGCCTTGAATATTCATTGTGTGTTTCAGAGAAGTATTTTTAGGCTCGGTGATATTCTCGACGCGTGTTATTTAGAAGCCCCGGCATCTGAGACTGTGCGGTGAGGGGATGACTGATGGTCCCAGCGCCGGGAGGCGCCTGAGGGCCCAGGGGCCGGTCCAGCGCAGAGCCGTGACCGCGAGGTGGCGGTGGCCCACAACCAGCTCGGTCTGGGCGACGACTGGACAGTCCACACGTTGGCTTAGTCCCCCCCCCGGTGTAAGACCCCCGCACAGTAGGGCAAGGGGGACCCCCACCCAGGAGGGGGAGAGGGAGGGAGCCCTGGGGAAGAGGAGGATGGCGGTGGGACGGTGGGGGGGGTGGTCTTCAGTGTCTGGAAGCTGTCACTGGGCAACACAGCGGCGGTCTCGGGGTCAGAGGGCTCCGGAGTGCAGCTGCGGGGGCGCCTTGGGGCCTGCGGGTGCCTCACCTCGGCTAACAGAAGGGGGCGCGGCTGTGCCGGGCACGCGGCGAGGGTGAGCCGGAGAAGCAGGAGAGACGCTCGTTGGGGTGTGACCAGAACAGTCCGATGCGTTCACGTCCAGTTGGGCGCCGGCGGGCCTTTGCGGGAACAGGCACCCCCGCGGTGAAGGACAGGGGCCACATTCACGGGCCACCTTCGGTCCATTCACGTGACACCTACTTCCCGATATCCTCACGCACACGCACACACACAGAACGTACAGTCACCATCCTGGGGGGGCTCCGTCCCACTGACACTTGCTGCCCGACGTCTTGGGGCCGGGAGCACAGAGCACAGGGCCCGTCGGCAGACAGCGGGATGCGTCAGGAACCCCCGCTGGAGAACGGACCGTCTATAAGGGACTCCCCTTCTGCGCGCACACTTGACCTTGGACGACGGCCGGGCGGACCCCACGCTCGCCGCCGGCGTCTCTGCCGTCGGGGTTGGCCGGCCGTGCCGACTGCAGGCCGGAAGCAGGGTGCGAACGCACTGCCGGTCTGTTACAAGGGGACAGCGCCAGCCTAGTCCCCCCCGGTAAGGGGGCTGACACGTGCCGGTCAGGCTGCCGAGAAAGGGGACTCGGCCGGGGCCCACCGCCACCCGGCCCTCGGGAGGGGTTGCTGACAGTGAGCAGGGACTGGCAGATGGGGGGGATGGAGGGCAAAGCCCAGGGGGGCCCTGGGGGAGCCGGGGAGGCCCTGAAATGTTTCCGCTAAATTGGGTCCTTTGGGGGGCCCCCACTGGCAATGCTGAGTGAGAGATGGAAACCGTGGCCCTGCACAGGACGGGGGAGAGAGCGCGCGGCCAGCGGGCAGCACCTTCGGGCCCCGAGTGGCGCACAGTGGGACTCGCTGGACCCACATCGTGTTCAACGCGAGATAAGCAGCCTGTCACCCTCGTCTCCCTCGCACCTGTGCGGGCAGACCTGGCACGTGTCCGGGCAGACCTGGCACCTGTGCGGGCAGACCTCGCACCTGTGCGGGCAGACCTGGCACGTGTCCGGGCAGACCTCGCACCTGTGCGGGCAGACCTCGCACCTGTGCGGGCAGACCTGGCACCTGTGCGGGCAGACCTCGCACCTGTGCGGGCAGACCTGGCATCTGTGCGGGCAGACCATGCACCTGTGCGGGCAGACCTAGCACCTGTGCGGGCAGACCTCGCACCTGTGCGGGCAGACCTGGCATCTGTGCGGGCAGACCTCGCACCTGTGCGGGCAGACCTGGCACCTGTGCGGGCAGAGAGCACATCCCCCACCTGGTGGCCGCGAGCTCGCTGCCGGCCGGCCGGGAGGTCTCACGTCCCCGTCCTCGGTCGGTTCCCCTCCGTCAGCCAAACCTCCGCAGGTCGACGCGAGATCCCCGGGATGCTCCCACAGGCTTGGCTGGTGACGCTCACAGCAACGCCCACGTCACGCGTGTGGAAACGCACTGAATTCTGTACTCGTGGGGACCGGCGTCCTGGCGGTGCTGAAATCAGCACCTCACGTCCTCCTGCCTCCAGCCCCTGAGCCACGCCGCTCCCTCTGCCTGGAAGGCGGCCCCACGTGCCCCACGGCCCCTGCCACGGGGAGCCCTGCCTGGACACCCGCGGGCCTGGCTCACCTCGCCCCTGGGCGTCTCCCCCACGGGGCCTCAGCGCCAGGAAACGGGGGCTTTTGTGTGTTGTGTTCGGCGGTAATGACACGTGGGGGCATTTCCCGGACGCTGCTGGAGCGCAGGGCCTCTGCCCACGCTGTCACCTGTCCCCGGTGCTCCCCAAACATCCAACGTGGAGGGCGGAAGGGGCCCAGGAAGAGATAGGCGTCAGGTGGCCACGTTCTGTGCGGGAGAGCGAGGCCGTGGAGGGCGACGCTGGCGGTGGGCGCACCTCCCGAGAGGAGCCGGCACCGGGCACGGGGCTCGTCCGGGTGCAGCCGGGGAAACCAGAGGGTCTGACGGGCGTGCTCCCGGCCGACCGCTGGCCCCGTGGCCAGTCAGCGGGGGAGGTGCGTGCGTCCCCGCGGGGCCCTGGGGGCAGGTGACGGACGCCTGGCTCCGCTGAGGGTGGCTTTGTCCCGGGACTGACACGGACAGACATGACGGGGCAGGGAAGGGTCGGAGGGGGGCCTGCGCACTGGCCCCGAGTGCGAGACGACCAGCGTGGGGGTCCCCGCTGCCCGGGAGCCTGAAGAGTGGGCACTGGGGACGCACAGTTCGGTCTCCGAGTCCCGGAGAGAGCAGGAGCCCCGGGAACAGGCAGCCCATGCCAGAGTTTCGGCTCCGAGGACAGGGGTGTGCAGAGGAGGTTTTTCTGTGAAGGGAGAACTTTCCAGAAGCAATG